TAAGATAAAATTGATATTTCGTCTTAACTTATATCCAGTTTGTCTGGCAGTTTCCCACTAAAAAGATGCTTTCATTCAATTCTAACTTTTTTTAAAACACCATTTTATATGTACCGTTTTCAAAGTTCAGGGTCGACCAGCTGCTAATGTGATTTGTTAAATACACTTTAAGGGAATCTATCCAACTTTGCCTGACAGCTTTACTATCATCAAGTTACAGCCTTTGAAAATTTTAAGTAGGGTGTCGAGTACTCAAGCTCAAAGCTCATAGCTTTTTTTATAATGTCAACCCCTCCGAATGCTTTTTATATCTCAAGCTCGTCATAAAAATTCATCGGCTGTTTAGAGGGGATTTAGAACAAATAGTGGGGGGACCTTGTTTTGAGAAAAAATCAAAATGCATACTACAAATTGGAGGAGCTTGGACGAAAATCGAAAATGTCTTAAATTAACTATGAATCGTCTCACAAATGAACAGCGCTTGCAAATTATTAAATTTTTAAACGTTTGCTCTGTTAACAAAATTCATCGCGCGTTTTTTTTATCGAAAAATCGTGTTGAGCGACGAAGCTCAGTTTTGGCTTAATGGGTGCGTAAATAAGCAGAATTGTCGATTTTGGGGCGAAGATCGGCCAGAAGCATTGCAAGAGCTACCAATGCATTTGGAAATAGTCACAGTTCAGTCTTCAAAGATGATGAGAATCGTAGCGTAACTGTGAATGGTGAGCGCTACCGTGAGAGGATATCAAACTTTTTTTTGCCCAAAATGCTGGAACTTGACTTGCATGGCATGAGGTTTCAACAAGACGGTGCCACATGCCACACAGCGCGCGTAACAATGAGAGTCGAGTTTGGTGAACATTTTATTTCACTTTCGAGACCGGTCAATTGGCCACCTAGATCATGCGATTGAACCCCTTTAGATTATTTTCTGTGGGGCTATGTTAAATCTTATGTCTATACAGACCGGCCGAAATGTTGGAAAGAGAATGACAAAATTGGACTTAGCGGAGGCGCAGTCACGGTCAACATTCGCATGAAATACTCTTTATAAATTGAATTATATAGACCGTACATCGATTCCAATAAAGATTTTATGCATTTTTATGAGTTTTATGTGATTTTTTGAAAACTTTCCTATAGTTCTTAAAAATCACCCTTTATTTCCATTTAATTTTTCAATGTACACGTTTACAGAGTTTGGGCGTGCTAACAGATCAGCTACTCTTGTCATTATCGATAAATAATTCTGAATGAGAGCAATGATTTCGAATTTTAAATGTAAATTTCTTTACAATAGTTAGAGTACTACCCAAGAGATATCAGAGATGTTTAACAAATGAAACGATAGCATTTCGTTGCGATAATATGAAAGATTAACTTAAGAAATTAATTTTGTTTCGTTGCGGCGCCATATTAATAGCACACTTCAATTTTACATTTTCTGTTAACGATTTAACATTATCCGTTAATGCTTTAAAATTTTCTGTTAACGAGTAGGGCTATACTATCGTCAATCGTTAGGGGTAAAAACGAAGCAAAATTTTTTTTTTAATTGCTTTAACGATAGAATTTCCAAAATTTTTCGATTAACAGATTGAAAGTTTCCAAAATTCGATGTAGCCTTAAAAAATATATATACAGCCTTGGCCGAAATTATTAGGCACTAAGATACAAATATTCTCAAATGTGGCTATCAAAGTTACAACTTATTTTTGTTAATATCTTACAAGGGTGTTTAACTGTTGATTAAACGAATAAATTGTGTAATATTAAAAGTCATAGCACTCTGGGTAAGCTAAACCTAAAAATTGTCATTTTTAAGAAATTCATAAAATATTTTCGCATTTAAAATTGGAAAGTGAATGTGTAAATTACATTTAGTGAAAAACAGTTCATACTTAACGAAATGCCTAAAAAAGTAAAATTAGTTACGAAGATAGAGCTAGATTGCCAATTTGGTAGGATGTTCCCGGCGAGCGGTTAAATAGGCTATCAGGCGATTTGTGGAGACGAATTCCCAAAATTACAAATCAAAAAGAGGAAGAAAGCGTCTAATCAGTAAACGAGAAGACCGATTATTTATACTCTAGTCTCTCACGGATCGCAAAAAATCTTCTTCTGCCCTTACAGCTGCCCTTTCGGATGAATTTATTAAACCATTTAGTGCTCGAACAGCTAGAAGAAGACTCATGGAAGCAGGTTTAAAAGGACGTAAAGCCCGAAAGAAGCCGTGGCTCTCAGAAAAGATTAGGAAAATACGTTTGGAATGGGCTCGAATGTTCTGTCGTCTGATTAATCAAACTTCGAAATAAGCTTAGTTAAAATCGTCTTAAAATATTAACAGCCCTAGCTTCTTACCCTAGAGGCGACGGGTTGGAGAAAATATCATCCACATTGCGTGGTACACACTGCTAAGCATGGAGGAGGCAGCATTCTGATCTGGGGATGCATGGCTACAGATGGTGTCGGCGAAATGTTCATTTGCGAGAGTCGCATGGACAGTCAAAGTACATAAATGTATTAGAAGCTGTTCTTCTGCCTTCGCTAACGCGCGTTTTCGGCGAAACTAATTTAGACGGGACTCCATTTCAGCAAGACAATGCTTCTTGTCAAAAATTAGCGACTACGATACGTTGGTTTAGAGATAACAACATTGTTTTGTTAGATTGACCTGTACAGTCCCCAGATTTTAATCCCATTGATCACATGTAGGCTACTTTAAAACGGAAGTTTAAGGAACGCAGTATAACATCAAAAATTGCCTCAAAGAATGCCTGAATTAACGAGTGGTACGCTATAAGTGCGGACGTATGTGCAAAGCTTGTACGCAGCATGCCTAAGAGAATTGCTGCTGTTATGAAATCGAAGGGTGAACCTACTAAATATTAAAGTTATTATGTTAATGATACTAATTCATTGTATTTGCACTGTTTCACTAATGAAAGTTCATTACTTCACTTCTTAGTACAAAAAATTCAGTAATTAGTGGGTTGCCTAATACTTTTAGCTGTAACTGTATAAACTTCAACGCATGACTGTTGGAAGAATCGAACTACAATGTATGTAAATATTAAATACTTCATTATAATCGGTGGCAAAATACTATAAAGCCTATCTAAAAATTCCGAAATTTATGGATTTTAAAATAATTACTTCTCATAATTCAAGGGATTGTCAAGGTAATGAAACCGTCAAAGCTCATTTTCCTATTGCTATTAAAAAACAAAATCTGCCAACAAAAATTTTAAGATCTTAAACTGCCAGAAATATTGAGGTAAATAAAAATATTTTATTTTTTTAATTTTTTCCATTTCATTTTGGTTTATTGCACAATTATAATATGTACATTACTAAATTTGTTTATGTATTTTGTTTAATTATTTGAGTAGTAATTTGTGGATGGTAGTTTATGCTAATAGAGGAGAGAGGAGTTTTAATATAATTAGTTAGCATTATATTGTTGTTTTGTTTCTTTATGATTAAACTAAATTTAGATAATATTGAGTACACCTGCACGGCGCAGACGTACCCCTGCATTATATATATATTAGTCAAATATAATTTTTTTTTTTGCTTTTTTTACAACTAATTTTATGTGTTTTACATTTTTTTGTGTTCTTTTTTTTACTAAATTACGCGCATACATGCATACATTTTCACTTAAACAATATAATATTGAACCACTTTAATAATAAGTGGTATCGCACACCCAAAAAAAAAAATGTTTATATGTATATACATATATGTACATACATTGCTTTTGTTAGATTGTGTAATTTCACATAGAGAATAAATCATATTATCTGACAAAGAACGTATGAAAACAACAACAATATATAGTTGAACAGCAATAAAATAAGATATAGTTTATGCATTAGCATACATATAAATAATGAATCAACTAATTCGTTCATATTTTTGTAAATTAGTTCTTTTTACGTTTTACTTCTTGCTCTTTTTTGTTATGTTTCATTTGAGTTCTTCTCATTTCATACGCGTCACATCTTTATTTACACTTAATAATATTTACATATTTACGTACAAACAGTTTCATATATTTTTTTTCACACAATTTTCCATAATTATTTTTTTCTTTACAAAAATATTCTAAAACTAAAACAACAACGTTCTCATTTACACGCTTAATTTTTAGCACAAAAAAAGTCAATTCAAACTATTTTTGTGGCGAACTTAATTGAAATAATATTTTTTTCTGTAGACTTATTCTTGCACTGAATCAGCTTTAAATAAATAACAGTGTTTCTTCAATGCATAGTTAGTTTCGAAGCTAAAATACATGTTTACATTTCTTTATAGGTATTTAAATAAGTCACATAATTTTTTGTTTAAATATTTTTTTACATACAAAGCATTTTATTTAATATATATATATATTTACTATTTATTTATGGTACTAATAATAATCATGTGGATTGCCATCATTCAATATAAATTACAACAAAACATTATAAAATCGAGCTCAACAAAAACGCAAGCCTTCCAATATTTTTTTTTAGAAACATAACATATGTATTATGTGTATATAATCTTGTATAAAAAAGTTTTAAATAAATAAGATGTTTTTTGCATTTCAAAGACGCAAGCAGCTGGGAAAAAATCGCATGCGATAAAAACTGCGCGCTGCAAATTCAAAATTGAATAAAAGCTGCTTAACTAAATTAATTTCTGCTTTTGCATTGAGGGTTAACAAAATAAAAAAACACAAAAAATTTATGTTGAAAATAAAGATAAAACAATTGACTACTGCTACTGTAGTCATTGGTGTGTATTTTATGCAGCTTTTTTTTTTTTTATAAAATTCTTTAAAAATGTTTGCCGATTTCAGATTTCGGTTAATAAAAATTCAGGTCCAAATTCATTTAAAAAAAGTTTTTGATTGCCAATTTGTTAGAGCATTTTCAAATCGTATAATGCACTATTCAAGCCGACATCATAAACCGTATTGTACATTATTTATATACATATAATGTTTAGTATTTTTTTTTTGTTTACACTCAAGATTTGCATGTGATTTTGTCACGATATTTAAATAATATACAATTGTTTATGTTATAATTATGTTTATACACAAATAGTATATATGTACGTATATAAGACATATTAATTATTATTTTTCTTTACTTTATCATTTACACAATTCTTGTTACAAAACTATTAATAAGGCACAATTTTTTTGTTTCTTGAGTTTACTGTTATCCTCTAGCGGACATTTTATGTACATAAATACAATTAAAAATACACAAACCTATTATATTTATATAAATACGTATAAATATACATATATATATATATATATATATAGCAAACAGTGCTCACCAACCACTGGCATCTATCTCTTCACACCTCAACACCGTAATTTCGATCAACCACATAGTCAAATCGTTCATCCTTCTGATCAACATTGGCTTTATTTTCCTGATTACTATTGCTGTTACCGTTGTTTAACAACGCTTGAGCTGCTGCTGCTGCTGCACTTGTGCTGGGCATTGTTGACGCTACATTGGTGTTGTTTGCCGCCATAGCGGCCGCTGCTGCTGCGGCTGCTGCTGTACTCTTAGCTGTATTTAACTCCCTACGACTGACAGCGATTCCCAAATGATTTTCACTGAGATTCTTATTTCTATTGTTACTTGCGACGAGCGCTGTGTTGATAGCGATCGCCGTTTCGCGTGCCTTATCCTCTTCATCGTCCTCCTCCTCTTCGTCTTCCTCTTCGATGAGCGCGCCATCGGGTAGCACGTAATCGGCACGATCGGGCAGATCGGGCACTGGGAAGCCTTTGCGTGTGAAGAAGGTCATTTTCTCTCTAAAATAGAAGAAGCGAAATTTATTTTCAGTTATGTTATTGAGAAATTTTACCGATTTCTATGAGGTAGAGCGATCTTCATTTAATATGATGAGTCGAAAATGGCAAAAGGCATGGCAAGCTGAGGGTATTTTGTACTCACTTGAATGACAAGAAGTCGGGTGATCCTTTAGGCACTTTAGTTTTACGCAGTTTATAAATCTCTTTGGCAGTTTTCATCAAAAGCTTATGCAATTGCTTCTCTTCTGGGCATTTGTTCGGATCATTTTGCTCGACCAAACGTTGAAATTCCTCATTCTCAATAGCCCAAGCGGCGATTAAGGGATCGCGATTATCACGGCCCTTCTCCAGTCTAGAGGGTAAAGAAAAGAGGAAGTAGCATGAAGGAAATGTTTTCAACTTCCCAAAGATGTTCACTTACACTTCCTTTAGGTTCTGCAGTTTGGCAATTTGATCATTAAGGAAATCTAATTTACTATGCTGCGCTTGCAGATCCAGCTCAAGGTCCAAGCTAGTTCTCGGTATATGTGTGTGACGAAGTTCTGCAAATATATATGTTGATAGAATTGTTAATTGCTTCGGGGATAAATTGAGACGGAATTTAGATTCACTTACTTGTCACTTGCTTTGGCGCTTTGGTGTGGAAGCGCAGCGAACGTCGCTCTACAGCACCACGATGGAAGGGATGCGGTGTGACGCCGAAATGCATAGCCGAGTCGGAGTCCGAGCGATTCAGACGACAGATGTAACGATTTTTATTAACTGCCGCAGATGGTGTGAATGTTTGCGAACGTTTAACTGGCCTGTCGTCGGCCATTTGTTGTTGTTGCTGTGCGGTACGTGATTTCTCAGGCGGAAAAGCGCATTCCGTATTTGTTTCTTTATCGACATACTCCTGTTTAACCAGGTCAATGCAGTTATATGCCTCCAGCATTTTCTCTGTAAAGTTAGCCGAAGTAAGGAAGAGAGAAAAAGGATCGGTGAGCTATAAATAGGTTCGACGACTTTTTTACACTACTTACCATCTGTCAGACCCTCCAAGTCGTCGTCTTCGTCCTCCTCCTCATCATCGTCGTCTTCCTCATCCTCATCGTCCTCGTCATTAACACTCAGCTGCTCTTGCAACTCTTCAGTGATTTGTGCCTGCATCTCGAAGGGTGGCACTTGATTGCGTGTCAGCGTTGAGGTTTGAGACGAAGTAATTGTCGACTCATCGGATGATTCTTCCTTAGCAGCATTCGTTGTATTTGACGCAGACACAGCTGTACTTGAGCCGCTGGTTATTTGTGATGCTGAGGCTGAGTTACTTCCTGTAGCCGAATTAGCTGGAGAGGCAACAGAAGCATTCGCGCCGGCGGCAGAACTCGTTGAGGGTAAATCGAGCGGCTCAAATGTTGGCATGAACTTCGAGCTGAGCACATTGTACCACTTGAGTGTGGAATCATCGGGGTTGAATTCGGCCATGCTAATCTGTACTGTGCCCTGTACCAAATTAGCATAAACATGTTAGTGAAGCACTTAAATGCTTGAAATGGATGTGTTAACTTACGATAATCTCCTCCTTCTGACCGGTCATGCTGACTACTGTGACCTGTAGGCTCTTTGTCTGCAGTTTGCTAAGCGATATGGACACGGCGAAAGTATCGCTGAACACCGGCTTCTGGAAATCGGACAAGGCCTTTGTGCGAATGGACGTGAGCGAGTTGGGCAACAGTGCAGCGCGTAAGTAACTACATTTAAACACACAAAAATTAGATTTGATGAAGCTAAATTGATAATGTCTACTTACACTTGTGAGTTGTCCGCGGTCGCGGTCCACAACGCTGACAGATTATTCGCACGTTCCAGCGATACGACTAGTACACCCTTGTCTTTGAGATACTTCAGCCCGATCTGTACTTGCGCCAGCTCTTTGCGCGGTAAATGTGCGCGAGATGCCTCAAAGACACCGGAGTCGCCTGCTACGGATTCATTGCTTACCGCCGCCGATACGGAGCGAGTATTCGAGGAAGATGACGAACGGCTGAGCATCTCTTGTGGCAGATCCAATAGCGAAGGTTTCTCCGAAATCGGTGACAAAGGCGCTGCAGGCAGGTTAAGTGGCGCGGATAAGTTGAGTTTTTGCAATTTAGCTTCTAACACCATGCAATCTAGCAGTGTTGAGTCCAATTCGTGTGCCTGTGTACGTGGCATTGCAGCAGCTAGTGCAGGACTTGGCTGATAGAGTGGCGGCAAAGCGGCCCCTGCTGGTGTATTGGCATAGGTCGGCTCCTCCTTGAGTCGTTGAATGGCAATTGTCGACACTTGATCGGCATTGGCGTTGTATTTCATGGGTGAGGCGGGCGGTGTTTCCAATGAGAGGCTGCTGCGCGGCGATAGCGACAACTCGGATGAGGGCTGCTGCTGCAACTGGGGATGCGCATTTGCGACCGTATGCATTTGTGACTGATGTTGTTGTTGATGATGGGGATGTTGCAACTGTAGCTGTGCCTGCGCGGCCTGCAGCTGTTGTTGCTGATAGAAACGTTGTGAACGACGCTGCAGGTCGATTACATCGATTTGCGTTTCGACAGCGAATGGGTCGATATAGATGTCGGTGAAGCTGAGCGCGCTCTTGCTGCTCGCCGTCGACAATGAACCCAGACTAGAACCACTGCTAATGGAGAATGTGCTCTCTGATGAGAATGACTTCAGACGCTCCTCAAGTTTCTTTGTCGACTTAATCGCATCCTGCAGTTCACCCACAAGCAACTGTTTCTCTTCGTGGAAACGCAAACGTTTCGCGATGCATTGATTTGTAGCCTCATACGCCTCTTTCAGATCTTCCTCCAGCTTGCGGCGTGTTTGCTGAATAACGCAGACCTCCTTAGGTGTACGTGACTCCATCGATATGCTATTCAAATCGTTGAGGTATTTCTCCTTCTCCTGTATTAGGAGTATACGATCCTTATCTGACTCTAGCTGGCCAGGATCGATGCGTTCCACATGATCTACGAGTTGTTGCTGCAGCTTCTTCATATATTTACGCCACTCCGAGTATTGTAGCTTTGTTTTGGCCATTTCGGCAAAGCGTGCGCCACTGTTCATATCGCCCGGTCCACAAAGATCCGTCTGTGAAGCGACACAGACTCGATCGAAAGGCGAGGCTGCATTCATAAGCTCAGCGTTCTCATCGTTAATCTGTTGACGGCTAAGCTCCTTCTTGATTTGCACCAAACTGCGTATGAGGTCTTCGCGCACCTTCTCACCCGATACCAGCGACTTGTGCACCTTGAGCATTTCCTCGCGTATGGCTTGTACTTCTGCGATATCATAACAACCATTTTGACGTGCATTAATCTTCTCACCCACCGAATGAAGCGTGTTCACTCCTCGTTTTGTCAGCGTAATGTCATGTGTGATATGTTTAAGTTCCTGTCGTAGACGACGTACGCGTTCCCATGATGAAGCAACTTCGGCGCGTAGTAGTTCAGGATCATGTCGACTCATTGAGCTCGAGGATGAACATACTGTAAAGAAAAAAAGTTTATTAAAAGATTGTTTGGCGTAAAAACAAAATTGTTTCGGGGAAACTTACAACTACTCCTGCTCGTCGCCAATTTATTCAGATGATTATACTCTTCCTGTGCTATCTGTAAACGCTGCTGTTTGATATCATACAATTCACTCTTCTTTTCTAATTGATCCTGCGCCTCGGACAGGTAGTCGCGCAACATTTGCTCTTGCACGCTTTTCCATTCCTGTCGCGGGTCTTCCAACTGCGTGGTCTGTTCTATGTGATTTATGTAATAACGTCCTATGTGCGGATCGTATGCTTCCTCCCAGCCATGAGGCAGTTCATCGCCGACACAATCTTCGAATGATTGTGGTTTGGTATAACTGGAAGTAGATGGAAGTGAAAAGATAACGGAAATGGTTAGAGGCTGAATATCTAGACTCATAAACTTAGATGCATAATAAGTGTGTGCGCACGTGTGTGTGTGTGTGTATATATTTTCATTAAGTATGTAAATATTTCGCTTAGTCTTCAATCTCTAGTCTAATACAAGCACGAGTATCTCTCTACAATAATCAACGGCTTCCGGTTCAATGCGAGCCACTCGAATGAGTATGTCTTTGGAAATACTTAACCAATGCTTTGACAACGCGATTGTCGATACGAGTAGCAGTAATGAAGCCAGTTAAGTGACCAGCTATAGACTACTGGTTGGCGAGCATATTTGATTAGTTATTAGGCCGCGGCTGAGATGGCGTTCGCTTCATTAGAAGCTGGGCGTGGGGAAACGAGTTGTCATTAAGCAGGCGCTTGACTCATAATCACCCATTTCCCACGCTATTCTCGGCGCGCATTATTAACATATTTAACTCAATATAAAACAAAATAAAAAAATGGTTAAATAAAGAAGAATAAACTAAAATGAAATAAAATAATATAATGTAAACGAAAATGAAATATAATAAAACAAAAAAAAAAATTAAATAATAAACAAGTAAAATATAATAAAAAAATAAATTTAAAACAAAATAAAATAAAATAAAATAAAATAAAATAAAATAAAATAAAATAAAATAAAATAAAATAAAATAAAATAAAACAAAGTAGAATGAAATAAATTAAAATAATTTAATATATAGTACAATTAATATACGAAAAAAGAAATAAATGTTTAAAAAATAAAACAGAATAAAATAAAGTAAAAAGTTGAATACAAAATAAGTTACATTGATAAACAATAAAAATAAATAAAAATTTCTTAAAAACCAAATAGGGATAAAACAATGTTGATAAAATAAGTTATTAGTTAAAATTCAATTAAAATTGGAGAAAAAATAATACGCAATTAATTTAAATAAAAAAGTATAGCCTCCTCTTAGTTATTTTAACTGTCCTTTAAGATACTTTTTCATGTTAAAGATAAATTAATAAAAACATAATACAAAATTAAATCAAATAAAAGAAGTTAAACAAATAAAATAAAATTCACTATATCAATGTTATTTATGGAGAATATAAATACCTTCAAATTATATGGTATGTACATATGTACTCGTATGTTTGATAACATGGCGACAGACAACGCCTTGCTTTGGTATTTAGAAATCAAACAAATAATATTTATTCTTTAATGAATTGAATATACAAATATTCAAAGCAAGTGTCTTGAAAATTAAACAAAGTTACGTAGCCACACGTACGAACTCTTGTGTGATTGTCATAACTCTAGTATTAAAGTTATAATAGAAATATATTTTGAAAATAATACTTAAATACATATTATATGTGATAGTGTGTGGAATGTCGTCTTACAGCATCCGCGCTATATATACGAAAAAGCTTGTAAATTACGACTGAATATAAATATATATTACCGGAAACAGGTAAATATGTTACAAAACAATTTTCAGGAAACAAAATTAATTAAAGTCAAGCCAAATCAAACTAAATAAAATAATATATAGTAAAATATAGTAAAATAAAATAATTTAATATGAAATAAAATATTTTCAACAAAATTAATTAAAATAATTTAAAACAAAATAAAATAATAAAAAAGTAAAATAAAAAATTAAATATTATAAATTTATATCAAATAGCTTAAGTAAAATAAAATAAAAATAAAATAAAAAAAAATTACAATAATATAAAACAAAATATAATAAATAATATAAAATGAAATAAAAATAAAAAAATTAAATAAAATAAATTAAAAAAAAAAATAAAATAAAATAAAATGAAGAAAAAAAAATTAAATAAAAAGTCAAATTAAAAAAATATAATAAATCATATAAAATAAATGAATTAAAATAAAATAATAAAAAAAAGTTAAATTAAAAAGAAATAAAATAAATAATATAAAATAAAATAAAATAAATGAATAAAAATAAAATAATTTAAAATGATATGAAATGAAATAAAATAAAATAAAATAAAATAAAATAAAATAAAATAAAATAAAATAAAATAAAATAAAATAAAATAAAATAAATAAATTAAAATAAAATAATAAATAGGAAATAAAAAAATAAAATAAAATAATATGGGAATAATTAACTGCTCAAATTACTTTAGTCAATGAATAATTGATTAAGAACCCTTTAATAGAATATGGCTCATATAAATACATACAGACAAATATGTATATTTAAGTAGAGGTATTTAAAGCACACCACTTAACTTAGCCACTCAAATGCTAATCTATGCATTCCTGAAACGCTTTATAATGTCTCAATGCGATTAAATTTAATTGCTGATTTTTATTGCAATTTTTTTTTTACTTCTTTGTAGCTCTTTTAATTTTATTTCGCCAACATCTCGCTTTACTTATTTTAATTTTATTTTTCGCTTAACACTTAATCAGCACAATTATCTACGTCATTTCATAGCTCAAACCGCAACGTGTTGCTGGCTGTCATGAATGCCGGCACGTTCGCCCGCCATAGCTTTGACAGCTATGGGGTGCTCTGGGTGTGAGCGATGGGAGCGGGGAGAGGTAGAAGTTTTGGCACTTTAGTGGCTTGTGGCAGGTGGCGTAAAGAGAGGCGCAACATATTCTAGATTAAATGATTTGGATGTAGTCACAAAGTCTCCCGAATCGCAACTGAAATGCATGTGTATGAGTCTATGCACAAATCAAGCGACGAAGTCCACGTGTGTTGAAATGCGGTTAGACGTTAATACGCCAAAGTAATTTTTGTTTTTAATTTGACTACTAGCCGCTTTGGCTCGTCAATCATTTCGCGATTACACTTACTCACATGCATATGTATATACATACGTATGCATATATCTGTATGTGGCATTATGCACTAGATATTGCGTCTGACTGCAAACCTCTCTCGCCTAGCTGGTGCTTGACAATAACTTAACTGTTAATTTTATTTTAGCTGATTATTTCTAGTGAAAAATTCTCGAAAGCTTGGCAGCTGCTAGCAATCAAAACGTCCTATTATATTATTCGTATATATGTAACTACATATGTATATACATATACCTCTATGTATGTATGGATGTACCAAGTGTATACTCATTAACGACATTCCATATTCATCAGACATCAATAAAAGCAAACACACATACATACAAACGGGTATATATGTATAATATAAACACACGTACATATAATATAATAAGCGCTTGTTATGCATGCCATGCCTTTGTGTGCTTTATTTAATGTCTAGAAATAGACAAATAAAATTTTGCGAGATAAAACATTTCTACGAATCGTTTTAAATAGCGGCAGCAAATTCTTTAAACTTATAAGCGTATGTATGAATATGTTTGCATTTTTGTTATTATATTTATGCACTTTTTTCACAACTTTTGTTTGCTTTATGAACACCAAGCAAACGAGATAAACCCTTTCATTCTGGTACAATAGGAAATTAATTAATTAATTATTAATACATAGTTATTGTAAGAAAAATACAATAAAGATGTGAAAACTGATTATAAAATGTAATAAAATAAAATAAAATTTAATTAAAGAAGCCAAAAAATAAAAAATAAGATAAAATATAATAAATAAAATAAACAAAAATAGAATAAAGTAAGAGAAAAATTGAGAAAAACAAAACAAAATAAAATAAACTTAACTAAAATATGGGCAATTTAAGCAAAGAAAATAATTTAAATTAAAAATTAATTAAATGAAACAAAACATAAAATGAATGAGCTTAATTGAAGTGAAAAATTATAATAAAATTCAAAAATTTATTTGAAATAAAATTGTATGGAAAAAATATAATAAAATTAAAATACACAAAGTGTAAAAGAAGAATATTTAACATAAAATGACAAAAAACGCAATGATAGAAAAATAATCCAATACAAAAAATAACAAAAATAAAACAAAACAAAATAGAATAAAATAAAATACATAACACAAAATAAAATAAAACAAATAAAATAAAATAAAACAAAATAAAATAAGATAAAATCAAAACAAACAAAATAAATTAAAGTAAAATAAAATAAAATAAAATAAACTAATGAAAAAAAAATAATATAAAATAGAATAAAATAAAATAAATAACATTAAATGAAACAAAAAAATAAAATTAAATTAATAAAATAAAATAAAAATGAATTAAAAAAAAATAAAATAAAGTGAAAGAAACTAAAATTAACTAAAATATAATACAACAAAATAAAGTAACAAATAAATCAAATTATAAAAAAATAAAATAAAACTACTTAAAGTAAAACAAATTATTGTAAAATATAATATTTGTTGAATTAAAATACTCGAAGGAATTTTTTACGATATTAGTTTTTATTTTTTTAATTCAAATATTATCATTTATAGTGTTAGACTTAACATTAAGGCATTTAGTATAATCGATTAGCAAGAAGCTTAAATACAACATTTTTTAATTTACTCGAAAGTAATAAAATATACATATTTGGAACTTGTAGCTCAATGTTTTTTAGGTATTAAAATTTCGCGAATTGATAAGCACGATACCTTTCTGGGGCGTGTTCGCTGTACTTTCGATTATATGGCCTTTTGCATAGATTCTTACAGATTTTCATTGTTTAGTATAATTTTCGGTTTCCCTGGCACTTGTAGTAAATTCATTACATTTTTAATTTATTTTTAGGCTTACAAATAATATAACATAAATTAACAATAATTTTGTGTGCCTTTGGAATCTTCGCAGTTCAATTGCCTGCGATTAGTATTACTTGTAGTTCTGCTTGAATAAGCATAGAAATTTGATACGCATATTTTTTACTATTTTCTATAATTATATTTTCGCGTTCATTATACATAACTGCATATTCTGTAATGTACATATGTATGTATAATAAGTTCTCGTATATAAGTAAAACTGAGTACCAACGAGCTTTCGGACGCTCCAAACAACTATACCATCTT